CCCCTCCCTGCGGCAGCCCGGGCCCCAGCCCCCAGTGCCCTTTGCTGCCAGCCCTGTCTCTGCAGGGGCAGGCTGGAGCTAGGTCCCTGGGCTGCTGCTGCTGCTGCAGTTCTCTCCACTGCTCTGCCCGCCTCACTTCATAGGGCTGCCACCAGGGCGTGCTGGGGGAAGCTGGGTGACACGGGTTTCAGCCCGAGAGTCTGGCCTCCTTGGCAAGGCACTGGGCTCCAATTCAAGCCTCGGAGTTGAGGTGGCACCCGGATCTAGTGCAAGAGGCCGGACTAGGCCAGCGATTGTTGGGAGTAACACTGGCAGCAGACAAGTTGCTGTGTAAGCTTTGGGTTCGTTTCAACAGGGTTGGTTGCTTCCTGCCATAAGTACACAAAACGCGATATTTCGGACTCGTGACAATTAATAGTTCGGTAGTAGCGCTGTCACTCCCGTGGGCCTTGATGGTTTCATTCCCCGTGGGACTGTTTTGGTGTATTTAAGCAGGACATAAGTGCCTGCAGAACCAGAGCTTTATTTTGCACCGCTACTGTAAATGAATGCAATTCTTGTGTATGGATTTTGGTTTTTGATAGGCAGTTGATGTGTCACATGCATCTGACGAAGTGGGTCTTTGCCCACGAAAGCTTATGCTCCAACACTTCAGTTAGTCGATAAGGTGCCACAGGACTCCTCGCCGCTAGTGTAGGAAAGGAAACTTTCCACCTGGACGAATTCTGGAAAACATGGTTTCCATGCTTTCTCCTGAAGGGAGGGAGAAGAGAGACAGAGAGTGGTCCTTTTAGTTTAGTCCACTATATAAATTAACTGTTCTATTTCCATTCTGGAAAACATCAATTTTTACTCTTCCGTATTCATTCAGTCTCCATTTAATTTAAAGGAATATCAGTTTCAAAATATTGTGCAAATTTATTTACCTGTGTTGCCAATAGTACCTTACATAATGTAAGAAAAGAAAGAATATTTAAAGCGCATTAACCTATTACTATTTAGGCAATTTGTTCACTGTTTTGCATTTCTCACGTGACAGTACCAATTATAGAAACCAGAACCACTTGTTTATATTCAAATTTCAGTTTCAGCTTCTCTGTTC